AGGGACCACTGTATGTGAAAAGGAGGGAGAGGGCAACTTCTTGGGCAGCAACAACACAAATAAAGATTTGAAAGCAAAAGAGATGCTCACAGACTTGGAAGTAGTGGTGGCAGGCAGGACTAGGAGGTGAGTAGAAAAGTTTGATTAAAGCCAGGAATTGAGAGAGATGACAATGAGAGGAAGCAAAGCCTAAAGGTCTGAAAAGGCCGAGGCATTCAGACCCAACTGTGGTTGATTTCTTATAGAAATAGGCAGCATAGAGATAAGACCCAGTTCCACCACATATGAACAATATATTACTTAGTGCTTTAACCTCTTTAGACCTCTGTTTCCCTTCAAACAGTGGAGGTCATATCTGCCAAGTAGAGTTGTGGGGCTACTTGGAGTGACAGTTCATTGTGATCCAGCCAAGAGAGCTCTCATCACATTAGTGGTCATTTCTTCTCTGCAGTGGTGGGTGGGACAAGGGGGCACACTGAGGGCTGTACAGAGGAAAGTGACATCATTAAAGGGATGGAGGTGGGGCTTGGGGATTATTAGTTTTGGTGATGGTGTGTAGAATGAGTTGGAAAGGGGGCATGTGTGCTGGAGTAAAGGAAATTAGACATAAGGACATGGAGGCCCCCGAGCTTAGCCATACTGTAGTGAAGCCAGTGGGAATGAGAATGAGGAAGTGAATATCAGATGGAAAGAATGAAGGGGTCTGGAGAGCTACATGTAGAAATTGAAATCCAGAAGAAAAACATGTTGATTTCCAGATAAAGAAAGAAGCGTTCAATTTGTAGACAAGGCAAAAACCCTGTGATGAATGCTTTTGTTTCTGGTTTGCTTGGCTTGGTCTGCCCCATGGCCTGCACAATCCTTTCCCTTGGGTTAGCCATTCTCTTTTTACTTTGGTGACATGCCCTTTATCTGAACATTCAGAGTACTTAATTTTCTTGAGGGATGTGAGTGATGAGGCTAGACTAGTCAAAACCTTTTGTCAGAATTTTTCTACCTGAAGATAAATCCTCTTGGCCTCTCTGGATAGAGGGGTTAGAATGTTATAAGTCAGGATAAAGCCTCTAGTGGTATATCTAAAGCCAAATAGAGACCACAGGGATTAGAGGAGAAGCAGAAAGACTTGGAGGATTGGTAATGTTGAGATTAGTTTTATTTCTTAAGACTCACAGAGTTGCCCTGATTTCTGCCAGATGTCTACTTAAATTTTTGTGAGCTAACCACTGTCCTTCCAATAAATCTCTTTCCACTTAAGCTGAGTTGTGTAATGGAAACACCAATAGACTATAGACTACAAAAAGTTAAAACATTCTGCAAACCAAAATACATCAATAAAACCAAGCCAAACCATTTGGGAAACATTTGTAACAAATATGACAAAAAAGGGTAACTATCCTTATTGCATGAAGAGAGTTTATATATCAGGAAGAAAGTGTTAACACTATAAGAGAAACATGACCAGATGCCATAAACAGATCATATGCAGAAAAAGAAATACAGGGCACATAAAATAAGAGTCTGCCTCAATAACAAAAACTAAACAGCAAAATATATTTCACTCATCAAATTGCAAAGGTGAAGAGTAGGGTAACAATGTCTGGGTACAATGTATGTGTAAGGGTTATTCCACTTTTCTTGAGAGCTTTCTCTGCTATGTGTATCAAGAGCCTTCAAGGCCATTCTCGGTAACCTAGCAATTCCATCTTAAAATAAAAAAATAAAAAGAAATGGTCATGTAGTTTGGTAGTAGAGCACCCCTGGATTCAATCGCCAGTACCCACCTAAAAAATCTTTAAAACATCCACAGCTTTTGATTGAAACATTTCATTTCTAGGATTTATCCTTATATAGAAATCAAACATCCTTATGTAGAAATCTGTGCAAATACACAATGTTTTTATTCTATGTATACATGCACTAAGATTCACAGATAAAGATAAGATTGCAGTGATATTTATATTTGCCAAGTTACAAATGAGTAATTAGGTGATGGTTGAAAAGATAATAAGAATAAGCAGGGGGCTGGGGATGTGATTCAAGCGGTAGCGTGGTCGCCTGGCATGCATGCAGCCCGGGTTTGATCCTCAGCACCACATACCAACAAAGATGTTGTGTCTGCCGAAAACTAAAAAATAAATATTAAAATTCTCTCTCTCTCTCTCTCTCTCTCTAAAAAGAAAAAAAAGAATAGGAAGTTCTATGATGGAAAATTGTGAGCCAATAAAAACCCATCTTTTTAGAATATATGTCCTTGACGTGGGAAATGCTCAGCATATAATCCTAATGGAAAGTAAGTATGATACACAATTATGTGATCAGATCTCAATAATTATTACATGTTTATATGTATTAGAACATAAAATGAGACTCTTTCTATTGTCTTAAAATTTTGACTAGTTCTTCGTTCTCAACAAAGGGATTAGACACAGTTCCACAATATTTACTAAGATTGAAAAGAAAAAAAGCCTAGTGATCACCATGAGCACAGCAGCAGTCTACAGAGGTGATCACTCAGACAGGATCATTTGAAGTGAGTTCATAGAGGCAAAGAATGCTTTTTGGCATAAACCTTGGAGCCTGAAGGCTCTGGAGGTGTGGGGAGATGGGAAGTTGGCTGGTGCATTCCACACCGGTAATATGAAAGTGTTTCTTTTTATTGAAAGTATGAATGCATTCAAGTCAGTGTTGTTTTCTTTTATCAAATTCTACTATTATTCCATTTAAGAATATTCTATTTATGAATATCTCCTGATACTAGTGCTAACTCTTGTCACCTCCCCCTTAGAAGACTGCAGTGACCTCATAATTGAGGTATTTTCTTGCTATCCAGATCCACACACCCACTAGG